AAAAAAAAAAGACAAATCAATTTTTAAAATCACAATCTAAACAGTTAACCAGACAAAAGAATAAACTCTCTCAGATACACAACCCAAGCACCCTGAACTTTGTCTTGTTATTGCTTGTACAGGTTTTCAAAAATGCATGGAATTACACATTTAAGAATCTTTCCTCCCCATTGATATTCAAAAAGCTGCTAATGACTACTCAGATTTGTCATTTTTTCAGTAAATCCTCTGGAAATTCTGGCTGTAATGTAAAAAGGCTACAAAACAGAAGTGAATGTTTTAACTGCCATTTCTCTAATATACAATATTAGTCACTAAACCCTCTACTATATTAATTGTGATTTCAGCAGAAGGTGTTCCATAACATGAAAGGATTATAATTTTGTCAAATTATCCTTTAATCACCAATGTTCTGCAAATCAATATCAAAACCCACATTTTTAAAAACTCAAACTCTTTTAAACTATAATCTCACCACTGTCTTATATTCTTATGTTCTTATGTTCTTATATCAACATATAACAGAGTAAAATGTATTCCAGCGGAGTATGAGTATGAATTCTTTGCATAAACAGACTACAGTAGTACCAAACACATAAAAAAGATATTCAAGTCTATACCCAATCCCTTTAAGAGAAGCATTTTTAAATTTTGATTACAAATATTTCAGCAGAAATATTAAATTCATTTAAATCTAAGCCTGACATGTTTGTAATATACAGAGATTCTACACTTTTTAAATGTAGTTTCCTTGTAAATATCCTTTCAGACCAGTGTGTTCTCATAAAAATATACATTTTCAAGACATAACTTTACAGCATTTCCAAGTGTAATGACATTTTAAATGTATGGAAATAAGTGCCTTTAGTGATGTATTTTAGCGGAAACATATTGCACATCCCTGGAGAAAGTACTGTCCCTTTGCATAGTATAACTATTTTTGGAGATTGTCTCTCATAGCTAAATTCTTACATATTTTAAGATTTTTCTGTTTAGACATCTTATGTTTAAACACTTCCAAAACAAGTTGTAATTCCAGAAACATAACTGGTTCAACATAACATCTGAGTCTAACTAGAAATAGACTAGTAATAGTTAATTGGTGCAAAATGCACTTCAAACCACAACATTTTCTGAAGAATATCCTGTAAAAGCATAGATGCATAAGAAATTGAACCCTCAGTCCTGGTGGACACTAGGCCTTAGGATATTTACAGGGACTCACAAGTGTTGGGTGAGGTGGTGGACAGCACCCATCATGTGACCGTGTAGAGCTCCTCCCTCTCACTCTTGCAGATCTGGTAGCCACAGAACTTCTGCGACCAGCCCCACGGCTCCTCGTGGCGTTCGCGGGGCGGCAAGAGGAACACCACACTGCTGGCCACCATGACGTGCCAGATGCTGTGTGTGTAGTAGTAGTTCTCATCCGTCTCCGTGAAGATGTATACGGACAGGCCGACGATGGCAGTGGCTATGCCAGGGAGCAAATAGAAAACCCAGCGCTTCCAGGTGGTCGGGTAGCACTGCCTGCGCTTCACTCCTCGGTAGATCTGGGTTTGAATCAAATGAGGTGGTAATAAACACAATAAGAATGATTAAACAAAACATACTTATTCCAAAAATCAATTAATCTTTTTCTGAAAACCGCTATTTACATTTACTGAAAACTGCGCTCAGGTGCTAGTTATCTACGAGTGAATATAAAGAATAGACCTCTCTTACTAAAAGTAAAGCGTGCCCGAATTTGTTAAACGTGAAACCACTTTAGCTAAAACATCTTGATTATGTCAACCACGTCTAGGTTACACATTTTCCTGGCAGCTGTTTGAGAAAGTTCTGTGAAGGACTCAAACAGGCTTAACTAGTTACACCCTAAAATAGCTCTGAGATAAGCCGGTGAATATGCTAATTGTTGGACAGCCAAGAATCTTCCAAACTGTTCTGCATTAATGCGTAGGCAACTAATAGATTCCTCTCTCAGTGTAAGAAAAAGATTTGGACAAACTCAAATTTGCAGTAATGCCCGTTTAAAACATTTAAAAACTTAGACTGCAATCTAAAGTGCAAAAACTTTGTGAATGCAAGGAATGCGACAATTTGCCCCCAGGGAATTCGATGGTACAAATGCTTTCATTCAACAGAATGAAATATGCATGAGTTTTTTCCAGCAACTTACCCAGGCAGATACCATCGCCAGCAGAGCACAAAGAATGGGGCCGAGCATGTTCCACAGACCCCTGCGATCCAGCTGCATCGACATGGCAATGAGCAAGGTGCCCAGCATGAAGAGCGTCTACAGGAAAACGTGACCTGGCTTTAGTCATTGTGCTCTCTCACATTTATAAGACATGTAGCAAGCTGTGTACCAAGTAGCTGTACATTTAGAAATAGTGCATAAAAATATCTGATATGCAAAAAACAACACCGCAACAATAGCAGCAGCATGCCATATAGCTAGAAAGCTCGGCAAAATTAAACCTTACATATTTATATGTGTCCTTGATCCTAGACATGCAAAGGATGGTGACCCAGATGGAGGAGACCGAGCCCAGGAAGTCACAGTACTGCAGTGTGTCGTAATCCATGATGCATAGCACAGTCATGCCTGGCTGGTCACATGCGTGGTAAAACTGAAACACACAAGAGGAGCACGCACAGAAGTGCGTCAGAGATATTAAGTCATCAGTCGAATGAAGACTATGAAGTGCGCAGGAGATCAAGAAAGATGTCTACCGTGGAGAAGAACATGGTAAAGAGATACACGGAGGCTTCCACAATGTAGCAGCGGTACACAGCCACTACGATGGGGGGAACAAACAGCAGGTTGCTGAGGGTGAGCAGCAGAGCGGCGGTCAACTGGTGTGCGTAGGTCTGCGCGGTGCGGTCGTCTGTGCAGCCCCAGCCACGCCAACCTAAACGAGAGGGGCAGAGGGCACAGTCAGCACGTCTGCTGCCTGACGCTTCACTAACACCCAGACCAAGGACGAATTTGAGCTTGTAGGGGTTTGGTGGAAAGCTGGGCTTTTTCCCCCCGGAGGCAGGTGGGGGTTTTGAACATCTACGGCCCCTACCGGCTTTACAGACGCAGGAAGCGTAGAGGTAGCTGTAAGAGCGCAGCAGCCTGCACTCGCCGTAGGTCCCGCAGTCGTCGATACACGCGCTCAGGTACGTCGACACCATCACCGTGCTCGTGGCATTGCCACACTCGCTGGCGGAGGGACAGAAGCATTAATGACCATCTGTTTGTCGTCTTGGAAGCGTGCTGACCTGAATTCGGCCAACGACCGGCTGCGGCTCTTTTCCAGTTGCAGGTCTTACCTAAAATTTCCAGGGCAGAGCATTTGGAGTGTGAGGTACCACACGGCAGCCTCAGGAAAGGGGATCCTCAGCAGAGTCTTGGGTGACGTCACATTCACATAAAGCAGATAACCCGGAGAGAAGGCTGTAAATGCAGACAAGGGGACAGACCTCAGGAGAGGTCAGAGCAAACAGCCAAACAGTCTCAAAGGTGTCAGCATTTCTATAAAGCCTTTGAAGACCGGATACAGTTCATCCCTGCATCTGATTTTTATCTTTTTATCTAATGCCTTGCTCACACTATAAAACTTTTAAAGTCATCGGATCGCTATACTGTTCACACTACACTGCAAGTCTTATAATCAGGAGTCTGATTACAATCATAAGTTGTCATGGATTACAAACTCCATAACTGATCATTTTGCATTTTGTCAGGAAATCACTCTCTCTCTCTCACGCATTTTATTATATATATATATAT